TCCCCTCAGAAATCCCATGTGCTTCTGAGCTCAGTTTCAAAGTCACCATCTCAAAAACACCGAGAACGTAGGTAGCTGAGTAATTTCTGTTGAAGAACTAGAAGCCCAATTGACATGACTCGGTACCTCACGTCATCCTGATGTGAGGGAGGTCTGAACTCAGGCACCGAACAGACTGAAAACAGGAAAAACAACCAATAATCAACCAATCTGATTAATAGTAATCATTCATAGAAGTGGCAGGACAAGGCGTCAAATCAGCAAATAACACAGCAGAATAACGCCGCCCCCACACCAAAGCAGCACAGCACAAATTTGACTAAGCTTAAATGTGAACTACACAAGCAGCTCCGATGAGGTACTCGTGTGCCGACAGGATCACACAGGATGCGTTAGAATATGGATATATTATCTATCAGAAAAGAGCAGTATAAAAATTTCTGACCAACTTTGAACAAGTTCCTTCTTTATACTGTTATGTTCATGACACTCTGTAATCATTGTCTCCAGTAACGTATAAGCACTCAGCCTTTACTAGCATCAATTGGAGGCAAAAGCTACTTCTTAGCTTGAATATTCACTAGAAGCAAATTTCATACTGTGCACTCATTCATCAAGTGATCTGATTACTCAAATGTATTATTGATTTTGTTTCAGACTAGGAAATTTATGAAATTAACTTATGTAGCACTGTTCATTTGGGGTGAATATACAATTATGGAACTGTTCTATCTTGATCAATTTTCTAAGCCACTGGAATACATTTAGTAAGCATTAAAAATCACTCTGTCTTTAGAGCCTTTAATGAACAAACAATGATCTACATGAATTAGCAGCACCAGTTAATAAGCCGTACATGTTCACACAGCAATTTTTGCCATCAATCTGCAAATAAAGTCTTATTTACTGTGGAAAAAGTCCTGATTTTCTTTCAGGAAATAAATAGTTAGCTCTGATAATGCTAATATCCTCGAAGAGACTGCAATATCATGAAAAAGGCAAAATTGACCCTGAAAAAGTACAATACCTTACAAGAGGGGAAGGCAGATATGATGCAGCATGTAGAACTGAGCATCTCTTCAGCGAGTTGTGTATTTTCATCCTGTACTTCAAGATGAAGCCCATTGAAGCTACAAATGTAAATGCATGTATGGTTATAAATTATATTTGTACAAGCTATCTAGAAAAACAAAAACAACAAAAGCGATTGAGCAAGTTGCTTGGGTCAAACAGGAAAACATATTCATCGCTCAAAGCCACTTTCTTGGTGTTAGTTAATGAAGTTAGATTTTTTCCGCTGATTTAGAAACACAGGGAAGTTAACTTACCAAAACAAAAAACGTTTTTTACATCTATGGTTACAGGGGCCATCAAGACCTCTGGGAAACAAAACTAATATAAGGACTTAGCCTGTTGCATAGACTGGCAAGCTTCAGAATCACAACTTCTGGCAGGGAAGCTACTAAATGCTACTGGTTCTTGTTTTTCTAGACATTGCTCACTCTCCCAGTGATTGTTTACTTGCACTAATGTTTGAAACTCCCATTCCATGTCTGGTGTGGTGGTGGGTAAATGGAGAAAATAAACATTTTCCAAAACAACCCAGTAAAAAATGTTGATTTAATACAGTGACCTTTTACCAGGTTATTTTTTAAATGTGACAAATGTGTGTCCTGTCTGGCCAAAGCAAACTAGCTGGCCAAACTAATCATCCCAATTTGTGATAGAGGAAAACAACAGGAAATGAATAGCTAAAAAACAGTATGATTTCATGAATAAGATAATCAAAATATGGATACTTCATCTGTAATATCACAGATGTCTTCTTGACAAATAGTGTTTTAGTTAATTATATCGCCTCATGCAAATATTTTTCTTCATAAGCATTTTCCACATTTAGTGGAAGATTCATTCACCTGGCTTTAGACAGTGCATGTCTAACTTTTATCCACGCCTGATTAGTGTGTGTACAAAGGATACACTGGATGGGGATTCACGTGCCTTTGGAAAACACTGATGTTCCAATCTCAATGGTAAATAAGCACTGAGGAACAAAGTGTCACAACCAAAATGTGATAACTTAAGAATTATGAGCAAGTGTCTCCATATATGAAAAAGACTCCAAAACCGAAGATATTTTCCCCAAAATATCTTCCTTATTTCCTAAAATACTCTCATCTATGTCTTTATTGACCATGTATTTCTCCAGTTACAAAGTTAAAAAGACCCCAAATTGAAGATCTGAATAACAAAAGATGTATTTGTTCTACAGTTAGTTTTCAGTCCTGTTTTTCAGTGTTAATGCCTGGATCTAAGTGCATTTCTAAAGCATACATTTCAAAAGGTAATTTAGTCTGTACAAAACATTTTCAGCATATATGAATAAGACATAACAAATGAAAAGCCTTGTGCTTATTTTACCTAATAACCACAACAAAGTAACAATATTTGCACATACTGCAGTGCTATATTCAGAAAAAAAAAAAAAAAGAAATAAAATTAAAAATCACCTGGGTCACCACTGCATTATACCAGAGTGACTCCAATTAAAGTCAATAGAATGGTAGCAGAATAAAATGACTTGCAACAAAGTAACCAGTCATATCCATTTCCTCTTACTGAAATTAAGCAAGTAGATATGATTAAGGTATTAAGCCATAATTATATGATTTGATAGCATAGCTATTCTTTTCACTCCAAGGGAAATATATAATACATGTGTATTTCTATCTTCGTGGTGCAGAATTACAGTAATATGTTAAGAACAGAGCCCAAGAAATGCACATTTCAAAGAGCCAAAGCAGTATTGCACATAAACAAGCACAGAGGAAAAAAGGTTGATGACAGAATCAGATGCTGTTAAGGCTTCCTCCTTGGACAACTCTTATTTCAATCAGGAAAGAGGAGATGAAAAACTACTCTCAGTGGGAAAATGAAGGACAAACACAATCTCAATATTAAAACAAGCTTGATAAAGATCTCTCTGCCTTTGTCTTGCCAGCTATATTTTATGTCTCAGAAAAATTGGCACATACCACATAATAAGTCTCAGAACTGCAAAGAGGCGAAAAAAAAAAAGGGTGCAGTGTGAAGGTAGCTTGGTTTTATTATCAAGATAGTTGCCCAGCCTCCCCTTATCATTACTGGCACACATACATAACCTGCCATCCAAATATTAATAACTTCAGTCTTTTCAGACCTCTTCAGTGCAGGTACAATTAATCCCTATTTAACAAGACAAGGAAACTTCTTAACAGGGAATAGCATTGGAAGCTGCCATATGAAAGACACACAGGAAAAAAAAAAAAAAGACTGTTCTTTAAAGACCAGGCAGCAGCAATTCAGGGACAAGGCTTTAATTTATAGCAGAGCCATCTGCACAATGATAGTGAATTTCATTATTAATGGAAGTGGACAAAATCTCCATAGTTTCAAAATGAAAACAGAGCTTTTAGGGTAGTGACCAGGCTGTAGTCCTATTGGAGCTGAAAGCCGAACCATTATCCATGCACACATACAATCCTGCTGGTCCAGTAAAGATTTTCTCTCTCTCTCTCTCTCTCAAAAAGTCTCTCCTCTTGTAACTTTTATGCATATCTCCATATTGCAAGACACAATCTCCCCTAAAATATGAGTTTCCAGTATCAATCTTACAGTTTGAAAAAAATACTATGTATACATAGAGTATATTCTTTTCTTAGAAAAAAATAAGCCCAAACACATATTTATTGTCTTTTAATCCACACCCCAGAGTTAACTGTTCAAATAACACATTAGCATTCCAGCAGCCTTTGTGCTCCCTTTTTATGTTCTACCTACCACCCAATTAATAACTCATTAAGTCGCACACCTGCAACACACCTACCCTCTGATCCCAACATTAACCTGTCATTACAGATGTCACTGTACCAATAAGCCCAGTTAGCAAGAGAGCCTGCAGAAGACAATACAGTGAAGTTATATTGGCATTTTGCATTCAGTATTATATGTATCATGTCTATGCAAATTAGAGTCCTCTCTATTAGCAGTGGTGCCTCTTGATCCATAGCCACAGACAAAATGTAGTTTTTATTTTTCAGAATAAAACTGCTTTCAAAGCTATTTCCTTGCTCTGTGAGAATTGGTCTGCTCTGCACAAAAGTGTTCAGCTGGGAGGAACCCAAAAATATTTCTTCCTGGACTTAAGTGTGCAATGTCATACCTCACACTGCATGCAGAAACCTGGTGAGACATTTCTCATGCACAGGTGGCTCTGACCTCCACAGACACACGGGTATTGATGCACAGCCCCAGCAGCCAGCGCTGCTGCTCTTCCCCTAAGCAGCAGAAGGGGGTTGAGGAACACAAATCATGAACCAGGTGCTCGTACTCATTGGCAATTCAATTTGTTCATACCACTGTTTATTCCTGAAATATTTCTGGTGCCATGTTATATTTTACCAGTCTTTGATACCATTTACAGTAGCAAAAAGATAATTTATTTATACTAGCAAGGAAATATTTTCATCATTAATTATAGCTGTTTCACACTCCTCCCTAAAGGCAGAGAGCAGCTGTCTCCCCTCTGAGGGGAGGGGAAAAAAAAGTTTAAGAGAAGAAATGAATAAAGGTGGTTATATCATAAAGACAGACAGATAAAAGATCATCTTATTTTTATTTAGATTTTTTGATTAATGACACTGAGAAGTCACTTTGTTCCAACTCGGAAAAGCAAGTCAACATGGCCTGCAGATCCTGAGTTTCAATCAGTTCCACGAGATAGCATTCTTCATTCCGCAGGTATCTGTCTAATGCCAGAGGGGATCCTGGACGTGGAACTGGAAATTGACAACCGTCATTATTACTTCCGTATTTTGTTGCAAAATGCCTGAGAGACTTCAAAGGGAAGCAAAACAAGCAGCTTTCTAACAGAGCAGTCCAGAGTAAATCCATACACTGCACTCCATGCATTTAAAAGGAAGATGTCATCTAATCCATCAAATTATGATATTTTCCCCTCCATTATGGCTCACTGTAGTTCTGCGTCCTACCACTTGATTGGGCTTTTCCCTTGTGATTGTTCTCTTTTCACATAACTGTCATACAGTTCTTTCAAATGCAGCAATAATTCCTCTAGGTTGTCACCTGTCAGTGCAGACAACGCAATGACCCGGTCATCTACTTGTTCTCTGAGAAGTGGCAAATTAATCCTGGACTGGGCAAGGTCAATCTTATTCCCAATGACAACACATGGAATCTTGGACAGTCCTTTTCTATATTGTTCCAGTTCATATTTTAAGTCTTGTAGCTGAATCCAAGGCTGAGATTCAGACAAATCCACCACGTACAGGAGAAAACGACAGCGTTCAATGTGCCTTAGGAAGGCCATCCCGAGGCCCCTGTTTTGATGAGCACCTCTTATTAGGCCAGGAATATCAGCAACTACAGTGAGAGAAATTACACAGTGACTCCAACACATTTAAAAACAGCTACCAAGTTGTTTTAATGTCCTGTGATTACTTTTAGAATTACAGATCAATGCATCAATGTAGTACAAAACACAGCAGTCATAAGATACTAAGTTATGTATCCTTTATAGGTCCCCAAAATAGATTATTTCAGTGGAAACAGAATACAGATCCATAGTTCACTATTAAGGGCACATACAAGTGAACACGAAATGTATTTTAAATATTGCGTTGCTACATTAGGTTGGAAGTTTTTTTAGAACAAGCAAGAAGTATAGAGATTTGCTTTCTTTTATTCTTACCTGCTACTTGTTCCTGCTAACTCTTACCTGCTACTTGCTCATAGTCCTCATAGTGAACAATGCCAACATGAGGGTTTAGGGTTGTGAATGGGTAGGCAGCCACTGCTGGCTTTGCATTGGAGATTGCTCTCAAAAGCGATGATTTCCCAGCATTGGGAAAACCCACCTGGAATACGAACATTAGTTTAGTAAAGTCACAGTTTCATGTTAATCCCAATAAAAATAAAAGGGTCATTCTAATTCTCTTTTGTATAACACATAAGTACATATTCTCTTCAAATTCAAAACAGTATACCATAAAAACTTTTTCCTCTGAATTGATGCAATGAGATTGTTACAGTCTTTATATTTTATTTCTCTATACCAACTGCAGGTGGTTTCTTCTTTTCACCAAAAATCCAGAATTCGCTTTGCCCCTCACTGAATCAGTAATATTATTTCGCCTATAAATAACCAGAACACCTGTAGGTTTGGGATTTTACAGAGCTCTCAGAGTTTTAATGCATAAATATTTAAACAAACCAATCCTAGAAACAAAGCTACTTTTGGATATCCAATGTCTGAATTCTGACATATACGGAGGGCCAATATCACCCAGATGAACACAGACCAGATTTTTTCTTTCTGCTGGTATCAGATACTCAGAATTATTGTCAGAGTACAGAACTCTGCATCAACTCAAATTTCCAAATTGAAAAAAAAAAAAAAAAAAAAAAAAACACCCACACACAACTGGACAAGGTATTCACTTTGATACAGAATTAAGTGCATTGACCCATTATTGCTAACTCCTTTCTTTGTCTCTAAAGAAATCTGCAAAATTCTCCTACACCAAACAGTTATTGTGCAGTTATGGCATTACCATAAGAGCACTTGCACAATTCTAATAGCCAGGATCAAAATATTTCCATATTTAAAAAAAGAAAATTGACTTGGTATTTTCATTTTACAGAATGTTAAACCTAGAACAAAGAAAGTCAAATGTTCGGTATTTGGAGGAAAAAAAAAAAAAAAAAAAAAAAACGGGGCATTGTGTTATGTGCTTTTTTTTTTTTTTTTTTTTTTTAAAAAAAAAAAAAAAAAAAAAAAGCACATAACACAATGACTCGTTTAGAAGAACTCGCCAGACTGTCCATCTGCAGACAACCCATTGTACATCATCAGTGAGTCTACTAATCAGTGATGAATCTTGTGCATTGTTCTCCTATAGCTACTGTTGATTTTAGCAGAAATAGGATGAGATCAAGTAGCAAAAGAATGACAGCTCTGCAAATCACTCTGGACAGCCTTTCACCAAATAACAGCAAGAAAGCATTGAGCTGCATCTCTGGACAAGCAAGACAGAAGGGTAATAAAATGCTATAAAACATTATTTCTTCCATCAGTCAGGCATCATATTGCAAAGATAAAGGTGAAGAACCACATTAATACTCACCAATCCTGCATGTGCTGTTGTCTTGAGTTCCAAGTGGAGGACTCTTTCCTGGCCTGGCTCTCCAGGAGTAAAGAAGGTTGGAGCTCGGTTCTCATTGGAAAGAAAAAAGCGATTACCTTTTCCTCCAGCTCCCCCATAAGCAGCAACATACTCTTCACCATGTCGAGTGAAGTCAGCCACAACTTTCCCATCCTCCTTAACCAATGTACCTACAGGGACCTGAAAATACAGGCAAATACAAACAATACTGTAGCCGAACTATCTCATCAGACCCTTTGCCAGCTGACTTTAGATTAAAAAAACAAAAAACAAAAAAAACACCCTCTCTATTCTGAAGCAGGGATCTGAAAGAATCCAAAATGACAAGTGTAATTCATGAAGCTCATGTTCTGAACCCAAACACCACTGTCAGACATCTACACTTCATCAGAACTTTAACAGCCCTGTTTTCTGCCTTTGTAACCACAGGTATCTAATTATAGTCGTGACTTTAGAAACACAGTACACCTACGCACCAAACAGGATATGTTTAAAAAAAGAAAACATGAAACAATAAAGTCTGCTCCTATTTAGCAGGTTCTTTGTTCTGAAAATATTAGGCAAGTGAGCCCTGAAAGTAAAACTGTGTTTGTTCTGGCCAGATGCACCTGCCAAGGAAGCGGGGCTTTTATGACTAGTTAAAGCAGCTGGATCTCTGCATGTGCCAACCAGCTCTGGAGATGAAATGCAAAAGTCCCTGTAAAAATGTACACACAAGCGATTTTTCTCACATCCAGCTTGGGAATTTGCAGTGTTTACTCTTAACAACCTTAACTTACTTTAACGTACATGTATGCACCGTTGGATCCATAGCAGTTTTTGCTTCCTCCTTTCTGTCCATGAAAGCCTTGATAGAAGGGGAGGATTGAAGAAAGTGATTTGATTTGGCGGTCAGCTGTAAAGCAAAACATACAGATTTTAAACACGTCATTTTCATAGTGGAACAACCTATTGCCTGTTCTTTCTCTTTACGAATACTGTAGTAATACACATCCTATTCACTGCTTCAACAATAAAAGCAGGAAAGACTACTATTAATGTAAGTTATGATGAAGTTTCCACATCTTTATTGATCAGCTTAGGTTTATTGATCACCTTTTTTATAAACTGGTCATTCCAAAGTCTATGCACCTATTACAAAATACTCGAGAAAATGTGCTTGCCAGATTAGCAGATTTTGCAGCAGACTGGAGTGGAAGAAGATTTAGTTAACCTGAGAGTAAAACGTAATGGGTTTTAGCCTTACCATAACAAAGGCAGAGACGAGCAGATATAATGTTTCTGAATTACCTTGTCTCTCCAAACACTTTTTAGGTGATTCTTCTAAGGCTATCAGGGTCATTTAAGTTGTCCCTGTTACCACAGCTTATCACAAGGCTTAAAAAGCAAAGACAGTTTGCGGAGAAACATTTCAGATCTCTCCAAGGCTTAAAAAGCAAAGACAGTTTGCAGAGAAACATTTCAGATCTCTCACACTTAAATTTACCAGCTACCAACACTCCAGCACTGGGTTAAATTTACCAGCTACCAACACTCCAGCAGTGGGTTGTTGGGTTGGGTTGGTTTGGTTGATTGGTGGGGCAATGGGGATTTTTAAAGGATGAGACAGCAGGAAACAAAACAGACTTGGGAGTTTTTACCTTTGAAAATGACATGACCCCCATCACCTCCGTTTCCACCATCAGGACCTCCAAATTCTTTTCTGGGCTCACTATAAAAAGAATGGCCCCCTCCTCCGCCATGTCCTCCAATCACTCGCACTTTCCGATGATCCACAAAATATCGTGTCTGCAACAGGGATGGATTTTGTACCACTCCAGTGCAATTTATAAGCCATCCTCCAACAAGTCTGCATATTAGATGATTAAATTAATGCATGCTCCAAACTTAAAAGAATTATGAGTAGTAGCAAAAACAAAGAACAGAAGATATTTGCAAAGAGAATAAGCAGAGAAATACTTTGTATATAGCAGTCAGTTGCACAGGGGGTAAAGAAGACATGGTGTAAAGAAATTTCTGGATCCTGGCTTTGAGAAGGGCTCTGGAATTCCCAAAGGAAAATACTGCGGATGTATTTTCACATGCATGCATGAGACTATTTACATGGCAGGCCAAAAAGAGAAAGGGTGAGCATGCATGCAGGGGCACACAGATTCCACAGCTTGGACTTCACGATGAGATTGAACAATATCATTTTCTAATAAGGTGGTCTGAATAGTATGTGCAGGTGAAATATCGCAGTATAGATATTCATCTGAAAAGAAATATAATTTCTGAATAAATAAAGCTACATTACAATTCCTGACTGCTTTAAAAGACCCTGTTAGGAAAGTATTTAGCACCACCATACGGCAAGATAGTGAACTACCGGAACTTGTTATTTAAAGAATTAGTAAATGAGAGTTCATGTGAAACTTAAATTGGAAAGGAACCACATGAAAACGTCCTAGATTGTGCAGCTTGTCAGGCATAACACATAAGTCAGCCTAGCAACTACGGAAGCCCCCAAAGTGAAAAACAAAACAAGGTTTTAATTTTGAGGCTGCATAAGGCTCATTTCCTCCAAGTCTGTATGTCTGGGCTAGGAAACACCTAACTCTGAGCACCAACACCTCCACATGAGAAGCAGATTTCCTAAGCATTCAAAAAGTTGACTGAACTCCAGAATATATATATATGTATGTGTATATATATATATATATATTCACCTCAGAAGTGTGTCTTTTATCACCGTGAGGACCAACAAAACAAACGGCCGCTCCCCCAACACGGACCCGGCCCGTCTGCGGC